CTATCCGTCAGCTTTTAGAGCGAATCCACTTCATGTCAAGCAGAAGAGTCGGGCCAGGATTGGGCGGGAAATATTGAGGAAAAGACGATCGCTTTTTTTTTTGTTACTTTATCAGTTCCCTAACCCTGTTGGCAAAAATTTGGTTGGTTCGTGTCCAAGCTTCTTAGGTAGAATTTAATCCTGGATCAATTTTTTTAACATTTACAAAAGAGAGAGAAAGAGGAGAAAGATAATTACCTAAAGAGTCTGGAAATTGTTTTAACATGACATCAGAGGTTGCTTTTGGAATGATGCATTTTACAGTAAAAATATTTAAAGAAGAAAGAATACAGAAAAAACATTCAATTTTCTGGGACTTTGTGTCCCAGACCTGTATCGGATTATGACCGGGTTTTGTTGAAGGGTTGCTAAAGCAGTTCTAAGCGAAAGCATAGACCACATAGTGAGGATCATACTTATTACTCAGTCGTATTTGATCTAGCAAGACAAACTCGCTAACCATTGCACAAAAGCTCTCTCTGTATGTCACGTTTACGGGCTAATGTCTGAGTCTCTGTAAAGGATCTTCCAGTTCACTCAGTAAGGTGGCTATGCCGTTTCAACTTCCCCTGTACATCTATTATTCTGTTGCCAAAGATTGTATCATTAAGAATGGTAGCGGCATGATTGCTGGCACTTGGGACGTAGCCATACCATTTCAAATTTGGCTTTTTCCTATAAGGAAAAAGGCTTACGGCCGTTTCACGAGGAATTACCGGGTCCCGTATAATCACCGAAGCTAAGCAACGTCTACTCTGATCACTACCTAGATGGGTGACTTTTTTTGAATATCAGGTACTGTAAGCTTGAATGTGCGGCTGGTGTAATGGATAATGGTTCGGAGTAGTTAATCGGAGTTCCAATTCCCGTTGGCTTCGTTATATTCACTTATGTGTAAATACCTTCAGGAAAGATATGAATTCACCTCTTCTCCCCCAGCTATAGGTCAATTAGTAAGACTTGTACCACTAAACCATTATCTCCAAAAAAAAAAAAAAAAAAAAAAGGAAGAAATCTTACAATTCAAAAATATTTTCTGACTTTAAATAACATGTAAAGGGTTGATAAGCCGTAGAAAATTTACTCTAAACGATGTAAAATTTGGTGGTAATTAATTTCGCTGTAAATATTATCTTAACGTCATTTTAGCTTTGGGATGATGAGAAGAATAGTTGTTCAGAATAAGATGAAGTGTGCAATCTTCCGCTCGGCCTGAAGTGATCTTAATTTTGTCCAAATTAAAAGAAGTATACGGTTCATCAGTTGTCGGATAATTTATTATCTGTTTTATATCAGATACAAAGAAAATTACTCTCAACACATCCTTCCCACCCGTTCTGCATGGTTGTGGGGTTACTTTTCAGTAAGATGCAACAACATAGAACCTTTTTTCTACCATGCAGTAATTCATAACATTGATTATTTTAAAATGTTCGAACCACGAATATCTAGTTAGAAATAAATTGTAAAAATTACAGATGACTGATATTAATTAGGATTAGAATAAAAATTGTGAATTAACGATCAGAAAATTTATTTTTATTCAGTATTTGTTCGAGTTCTTTCGACCGTCACGGTCATTATCAAGAACGAAATGTTGTCAGTATGGTAGACAAGATTCTGTTGGCTACAACCTGAAATTTTTGGAAACAAAATATTTAAAATAACTTATTTGAAAATTAGAATAAAATAATTAGATTGAGTGACTTGTTTTTTTTTGTTTTTGTCATATCAACATCTTGCAGGTTATTAAAAACCAGAAAATATTTTTTTAGATTGTAAGAATGTTTTTAAGATAATAAGGATTTACTGATAAAAGTCCAACCTAATTAATCCATAGCTGGGGGTGGAAGGAAAAAAAGTGGATTTATATTTTTCCTGCAATTGAATATAACGAATTAGACTAGAATTAGAACTCGCCTCTCCGATTTCCAATTTCGTGCCATTATTCATTTCACCAACCGCACATCAAAGCTTAAAACACAAACTTCCTCTTCCCACGCGGTCACCCATCTAGTTACAGACCAAGTTCAACGTTGCTTAAGTTCGGCGATCGTACGAAAACCTATGTTTCAATGTGATACATAGTACAGTGGATAAAGGCGTTGGTTAGATCCAGTGACAGAACCCAAAGACTGTGAGTTCAAGGTTAAGGCAGTGGAGAACTTGGAGAGGGGAATTAACAGGAGATAACTGATAACTGACATCCATTAAACATGGCACGTAGAACTAGAACAGCCTACCCCAGTGAGCGAAATAAAGGGTTCAGTTCGACATTCCAACCACCTGAAGAAGGCCAGAGCGTACAACGGCCGAAACGTTGTAATAAATATGGCGTCAAAGATGAGGACAATAGTCCGAATAATGTAAATAGTGTACATAATACCTCATCTCAGAAATATAGACAGATACTGAAGAAGGCCGGAACGTACAACGGTCGAAACGTTGTAATAAATATGGCGTCAAAGATGAAGACAATAGTCCGAATAATGTAAATAATGTACATAATACCTCATCTCAGAAATATAGACAGATACTGAAGAAGGCCGGAACGTACAACGGTCGAAACGTTGTAATAAATATGGCGTCAAAGATGAAGACAATAGTCCGAATAATGTAAATAATGTACATAATACCTCATCTCAGAAATATAAACAGATACTGAAGAAGGCCGGAACGTACAACGGTCGAAACGTTGTAATAAATATGGCGTCAAAGATGAAGACAATAGTCCGAATAATGTAAATAATGTACATAATACCTCATCTCAGAAATATAGACAGTCATTAGTTTTATTCATTCGATGTTGTGTCTGTGTTAGTTTCATTTGTGTTGTGTGTGTGTGTATGTTATATGCATGCTTTTTTGTGTTGGTGCACTTGAGGTCTGCTGTTCAATTTCATTGTGCACTGCATAGTTACAAGAAGAATACATAAATACATATATGCTTGTGTATAAATACATATATGCTTGTGTATAAATACATATATGCTTGTGTATAAATACATATAAAGTAGTAATTACACTCGATGTTACACAGGATGTGTTCTTTTCTTGAGATGCCCAATTAAGCCTTGACTAAAACTCGAACCTGCGACATGCCACTATTTGATTACCATTAACTGCCATTACGCCGTAACGGCTACTAAATGAATTAAGCCGATCAAGCTATTTTAATTACGGCTATTTGACGCGTATCCTTTTATAGCGTATGCAAATCTCAAAGAAAAAACTGAATAATGCAGGGAAGAAAAAAGTTTCATAAGGACAACACCCGGTATCATTATCAGTACTGAATAAAGCGTAAAACATTCAATTTTGCCGTTGAAGTAATTTTTTTAATGAATAAAAAGGCTCTAATTCATTTTTAACGATAAAATATTTGCATTTCTTCTTTAAATACAGTGTAACCCGGATATAAGAGACCCTGATATAAGAGAAACCCGGATATAAGAGAGATTTTCTCTGGTCCCAAATTAGAGCCCATACTTACCTAAACAAAATAAACCAAACCCGGATATAAGAGAAACCCGGATATAAGAGACTTCGTCTCCGGTCCCGACAACTCTCTTATATCCGGGTTACACTGTACAAATAAATAAGTCAATTATTAAACTTATAACTTATTTTTATGAACAAAACAAAGAAATAAATAAATTTATTTTTTATGAACTAAAAACCTCTAATTCATTTTTAACGATAAAATACTGGCTTTTCTTCTTTAAATACAGATAGATAAGTCTATTATTAAACTTATAACTTATTTTTATGAACACAATCTAATCAATTTATTTTTTGTGAACAAAGCAAATAATTATCTCGAAAATGAAATGCTTGAAAAAGTGGTAGTCTGTGGGCGAGAGATCATGGGAATATGGTGGGTGTAGCAAACTTTTGTATCCTAAGTCTGTGATCTACAATATCATCGGCATCATGTGACCGATCCTTGTCATGAAGCAGAATTGAACCTCGGAGATTAACCAGTGCCGGTGGCATTTTGCATGATTGAATTTCGTAATGTGAATTTCGTTCAGGTGCTGGCAGTAAACTCTGGCAGTGATGTTCTGGTTAGATTCCAGAAAGCTGTAATGATGGAGCACCAGACAGTCACCATAATCCCGTTGGTGCAAATTTTGGTGTTCACGATGAGCGGTGTATAATGTTTAAGTTCAAATTCTGAAAGAGATTGATATAAAATTAACAAAAAGAACACTTTCATCCTTGTGAACTATTATTGGGATTTTCCCAATTATATTTGGTAACAAAAATATTGTGACGCCGGCAAGAAGAAAGGAACACAAACACAGTTGAAAATGTTTGAAAAAAATTGTATTGTAGGAAAAGAGAGGAAAGTTTCATTGCAAACAGTCGGGTTTGTGGAACTTATCTGAAAGATGCGTCCTTTTAACAGTTTTATATTTCCTGTGTCGTTTTGGCTGGGTTGAAGAAAATAGAGTCTTGACTTCTGTGCTTCAGTTGCTGTCTAAATCCACACACGTGTCCTGGTGTTTAGATGACGGGGAACGTGTTGTCTCTGAGGGTCCCAACAAGCAAAAGAAGAAGAGAGCTTGTAAAAACCGCTCTCGTGGCGGTTTGGTGAAAATCTAAAAAGGTAGCCTGTGATTGGTTGTTTTTCATCCAATCACAGGGCACCCAGATAGCGACTCCGTAATAATTTCAATACTATTACAACAATTAAATTGATTGATTGATTCGTTTTCTACCGCTTTGAAGGTTATTTAAAGCCAGAAAATATTTTTAGATTGTAAAATTTTTTTGAGATGAAAATGATTTAGCGACACAAGTCTTATTATTTGACTCATAGCTGGGAGTGGTGGATTCATACTTTTCCCAAGGGTATTTGCGCGTAAGTGAATATAACGAACCCAACTGGAATTGAAACTTAGATCTCTGATTAACAACTCCGGGCCATTATCCATTATACCACCCACACATTCAAACTTGCAGCACCTGGTATTCCCTAGTGGTCACCCATCTAGGTTTTGATCAGGCTCGACATTGCTTAACTTCGGTGATCATAAGGGAACTGGTAGAATACAATTAAATGCTTTATTTTAAAATCGGATATAAATTTTCGAACAACTTAATAATTTTTCTATTCTTCTTCTATGCGCCATGTCAGTTCAGCGTTTCTCCCTTTACTCCCCACCCATCCCCTATTTTGCCATCCATTCACATAAGCTCGTCAGGTATATCTCTTGACCTCGATATGCCCTGTGTGAGTTAAATTTTCCAAGCCCTTCTTTCTCATTATGTGTTCAAGAGTACGAGTGTTATTTGTTACTATTTTCTTTAAGATGTTCTCGTTTCTTATTCGCTCCATCCATGGGATTCTCAGTATCCTTCTGTAGAACCACATTTCTGTTGCCTCGGTGTTACTTTTCATCTGTGGTGTGATTGTCCAGTATTCACTGTCATAAAAGAGGATGGATATCAAAGCAATCTGTTTTATTTCAATGTCTTAGAGTGCAACGGAAGTCTCAAAGGGAAATGGTTTGGGTTACAGCATTTTCGAGGCCAGAATTTGTTTCTTACCTTCATGAGAAAAAGAAGAATCTTTTTTTATCATCTTTCAAGTCGTTTATATAATTGATAAGATTGGTTACAGGCCGGATCCAGTCAAGACAACCGACCTTTTCTCAAACGGCTCATTAAAACTCTTTCTAAAAGATACCGACAAACAAAAATCAATATAAGTATTCATAAGTAATCAATATGTAAGCCGAAATTAACATAATAATAAAATCATATGACAACCAATGTACGTAATAATATCATGTAAGTAAAAATTAATATAATATCATATAATAGTCAATATCATATACTGAAGAAATTGATTTAAGCAATAATGTATAAGTATTGATATAAGTAATAATAGGATATAATAATATAAATGATAATATCATGGAAGTAAAAATATTCAATATAATCATATATTGTAAGAATCAATATAGTAATGTACACTGGTATAAGGAGAACTTAAAGTGCATTTAAAACATCACGATCTTTTTTTGATATTAAATATAACATCATAAGATAATATTTTTTTAAATCATGTCACACCAAGCAAGGCAATAAAGCCACTAAGATGCAAGGGGTTACTGACCGTGAAAGTGTTATGGGCGACGGATAGCAAAAAGGTTTTTTCCTCCGCGTAGAATTTGTTTCTTCAGTTCCTCGTCGCCACTGTTATGGTCCAATATCCTCGCACCACTGTTCTGGTCCAAGGTTAGAACCAAGGAAGAACAACACGAGCACAAGAATAGAATAACAAAGATATATTACAACAGAAATATAGTACAAGAAGTTGAAGGTATTAGTAATGACTGTCCGTCTGGTTTACAGTGAACTAATATTGTCTCGACTCCTTATACCATTCATTGTATTTAATATCCCACCCACGAGGAATATATGTGGCACGAAGCCGAAATTAAAGCGGGTTTCTCCGAGCCCGTAGGCTCGGCCAAAAATATACCCTTTGAACCCGCCTAGACGGGTTCAGGGCCTGTCTACCTCCCCGGACGAAACCCTGCCTTTCGGCAAAGCTTCATCCGGGTTCCTCTCTGCCAAAGCAGAGAGTTCAACAGTCATGACCTAGTGCTCGTTATACCATTCATTCGGTATTTAGCCACCCCCACGAGGGTTGCATGTGGCACAAGGCCGAGTTTAACGTGGGTTTCCCGAGCTCGTAGGCTCGGCCAAAAATATACCCTTTGAACCCGCCTAGACAGGTTCAGGGCCTGTCTACCTCCCCGGACGAAACCTTGCCCTTCGGCAAAGCCTCATCCGGGTTCCTATCTGCCAAAGCAGAGAGTTCAACAGTCATGAACTGGTGCTCGTTACACCATTCATTCATTATACCTCTTGAGATGCGCAGTATTTATAGTGTCAGGAAGAGTCCATTATCGTTATAGGTAAGTTCCCATAACAGAAAGAATATGACAAAACACATTATTAAGGAGAAAGAATAAAAGAACAGGAATTAAGAAGACAGACGTTAACGACTGCTATTGCTTTTACATTTTTGAAGATCAAATTTGACTAGAAAGTAAGAAGCCTGAAGAGAGTTCAAGCGAGAAGACATCAGTATAATATCATATACTCGTCAAATATTAGGTTGGAAAGAAAATCTTATTGCACTTAAAAATGCAAAAGAAACAAACTTCTTTGGCCTTGATATATTTAATCAAGATTAAATTTTCCCTCGTTATCGATAACATAATCCCATTTATTTAGCAAAATTTTTATCAAATTTATTTTAATCAAATTTATCTTTTGTCGTTTAGGACAAAAGGAGTCCCATCGAGTATATAGTCTTGTAAAAGTAGACTTCCTGTACACAGAGGTAATAAACGAGGAAGGAGTTCTTTGAACAAGAACATCTAAGAAGGGCAATGAACCATTGACCTCCTTATCTACTGTAAAATTAAGGGCAGGATGAACACCATTGAGTAGGGAAAAAAATTGATCCACTTCCGATTCATGACTGAACAAACAAAAAGTGTCATCCACATACCGAAAGTAAACCTTGGGTCGGGCAGAACTTAACAAAAGGCTTTCCTCATAAAAACCCACAAAAAATATTTGCCAACACAGGACCCACCATCGATCTGACGATACATGATATTGTCGAAACTAAAATCAACAAACATAGTGGCAAATTTCATGAGTTCAACGAACACTTCTTCAGGTATATTCGGAGGAGTCAAATCGCTACGATATAACATATCGCTGCAAATATCAATAGTCGCCGATAAAGGAACACAAGTGAAGAGGCTACAGGTGTCAAAAGAACACATAAATCCATCAGTGGCATCACAATTCAGAATGAATTTGGAAAAAGAAAATGAATCTTTAATACAAAAGGAACTGTAATGCTGCAACACTGGTTGCAACAATATAGCAAGCCAATTTGCGACTTTATGCTGTGAAGACCCAATCATCGATAATATGGGTCTCAACGGGACACCCTTCTTATGAATCTTGGGTAATCCATAAAAACGGGGACGAATAGAGCCAAGCGGTCTCAATTGCTCCGCCATTTCAGAAGAAAGAACACCACTTTTTACCCATTTGACAAGACGTTTCTGAAATCGAATTTCAGAAGTCAGTGAAGAATCATTTTTTTCTCCCTGTCCACTCATTCATGTCATCCATGACAGAGTTTTTCTTTTTCTTTTCCTCGTAATCTTAATTCCCCGTTAACAGTTCTGATGAGAGGGGACGAAACCGGTCGACTGGTGTGTGTTTTGTTTTAAATCTATCATGGCCTACAATATAAAATTTCTTGTTTTAATGTCTTAATATGCTTTTGTACCGTTTCAAATATATATATATATATATATATATATATATATATATATATATATATATATATATATATATATATTGAAAAGTAGCCTCAAAGTGATCTTGTAAAAAAATTCAACAAGAATTAGTTTATAAGAAGTGCTCTAATATATATATAATAATCAATATAAGTAATATCCTGTGTGTTTGCCAGGATCTTTGCATAGGTGTAATTGAACGGCAAAATTGAAAAAAGTTACACAGCGCGTTTCGTTCCACAAAAGGGTCTCCTTCAGGCTAGATAATTTTTTTATTGATGGAATTATATATAAAAAAATATGGGGTGAAGCAAATTACAAACAAATGTCTCCACACACACACACACACACACACACACACACATATATATATATATATATATATATATATATATATATATATATATATATATATATCGGGACGATCCCAGCGTGCGGCAATTTTGGAAAGTGACTGAAAACTATAATACCAGTGACCCAAGCCTTGAGAGTGAAACTAGGTAGACGGAACATTTGGGGGACCGTCGATAGCTGTGCTAGCACGAAGTCACAAGTGATTATGACCGAGGGTGTGAGTGTGCTGGCCTTGCTCCGAGTGTTGATCACGCTAGATAACACAGTCTCTTCCAAAAACTGTAACTGCTCAGCATAGTATAAACCACTAGTAGGATCTGTGGGTGTTGACCAAAAATTGCGCCTGAGCGAGCGTCTGAATTAGGAATTGGCTAGCGGCTCAGTAGACAGGTATCCTCGAATACGAGTGACTAGCTATTATATATATATATATATATATATATATATATATATATATATATATATATATATTTGTATATGATCTCATGAATAAAAACATCGATTAATCTGTAAAAGTCATTTTAAAGGACAAAACCCGTGGCACTCATTAATTTACATTTTGCCATTTAGTTAACTACCATCAGTCTGATATATATATATATATATATATATATATATATATATATATATATATGTGTGTGTGTGTGTGTGTGTGTGTGTGTGTGTGTGTGTGTGTGCGCGCATGTGTGTGTGCTTTCTAAACATATATGGCAAATTAAAAAAAAAAACAAATTAAACCAAAAAATATCCTGGAAAATAAGGAAAACAGCACCAGCCTAATACAATAAATCCAAAAACTGTTAACTCCGTCTGGAGAAGAAAATGACTACAATCGCTTTTCCAGACCAACAAAAATTACTAAATAAGCGATCAGAACTTATCTCAAAATGCAGACATGAAAACAAATTTTTACTACGTTACTTAAAAATTTAAAATGAATACCTTGTAAAATACCACTGATAAATGCAATATATACACAATATAAATGCAATATATACACGATATAAATGCAATATATACACTATATAAAACATAGATAATGCATAATACATTAGACAAAGCCAATACTTTAGACTAAAGAAATATAAAAAATCCCGAGAAAAAAATAAGCAAAAAAACCTGTATAAATAAATAAACAAATTAAGTAAAAAAAAAACTGTATAAATAAATAAAGTAAAAAAAAAAAACTGTATAAATAAATAAACAAATTAAGTAAAAAAAAAACCTGTATAAATAAATAAACAAATTAAGTAAATAATTAACAAACTACAAATGCACACATAAAAAACAAGTGAATGGAATAATAATCAACAACAAATAATTAATTAATCAATAATGAATAATGAGTAAAAA